GCCAAAAAAAGTCGCTGTTCGGATTTAAATATGCAAACGCTTAAGAGTCTAGGATTGGATCATTATTGCAGTGATTGTTATGTTTTAGCATGCTATATGTTTGGCAACAGTTTTTCTAACCCTAAAGAGTGTGTAGCTTTTCATTTCTTAAACAACCATGTAGGAAGACACATAATGGCCATATTCCAAGATGACAATGTCAAGATTCATCAAGGCTCAAACTGTGAAAGAATGGTTGGGAGGGAGCAGGAATAATCATTTTCACACATGAATTATCCCCTTTGAGTTCAGATCTTAAATTCATTGAGTCTTTGGGATGTGCTGGAGGAGACTTTACAGAGAGCTGGACTCTTGCATTGGCAATACAAGACCTTTACCAAAAATGTATGCACCTCTTGATGGAAATAACATCACAACAATGATTAAGTAGTATTGTATTTTAAAGGAAACTTATTTTTAACATTAGTTGCGGTAGACAAATAAAGTTAATCAAGGATAAACTGAAATCCATGGCATTTCCACGTAACAATGTGTTTGAAAGCTGCTATTGGATCATTGAGGGTAAACATCATATTATGCGACTACGCGTTACTTTAAGGAGCGCTTATGACCTACTACCTACTTAAGAACAAATGGTGCAAACGAATAAAGTACAGAGTAAGTTACAAACTAGCTAGTAGCAGAGCCATAGAGAGAAAGAGTTGCGACACGCTTTGATGTCGCCGCGACGGCTGTCACGTGGTTCATGTAAGCCCCAATAGTTCCAAAACGTACGCGGGCTGTCATGTTCTTCTGGACAGACAGCAGCGATTGCATTATTAAACGATAAATATAAAATAAAACACACACCCAAGTACTTTTTAAGCTGTTATTGCATTTTGTTAATGTCAGTTTTGCATTTGGAGAGGCAGGGTGACAACTTAGATAAGTTTATTGGCTATATTTTTGGAGGGAAAAGCTTAGTGTTCATGTTCGCATGGGTAGTAGCACTGGCTTTAGCGGCTCTAACTTAACTTTTCCATGTCATTCATCTGATGATGGACGTGTCATGATATTTATTTTAGCACAACTGGGCTGTATTAGGCTATTGATTCTCGTGATTGCTTATAAATTCCGATTCAGCCATTAGCCTACCTTCGTGATCGCGCAAAGAGGTCTGCGGTCCGTTCAGAACTCCAACCAACATAAAATATAAATAATTACGCTGTGCATGTACAAATGAATGATTTAGGAAGGAAATAGACTGCTCCCATAACGTAGAAAGCAACGACTATATACAGCAATGTTCGGTAAATATTCAACCGAAAAATATTCTTCATAAAATTAAACCAGAGAGATAGTTAATGAGTGAATTAACTATGTTCCTAAATACATATAAGCACATGCATAGCCCTAACCCATTTAAATAAATTAATTGTGTGTGTGTGACTGTGTGTGTGTGTGTGTGTGTGTATGTATATATAATATTATATATAGGCTATATATATATATACATACATATAAAATATTATTAAAAATATTATATATTATATACATCAGGTTACCATAAGTTAGCTAACGTTAGTGAAGTGTTGGTCACGTAAGCTATTGCTGCAATTAACCTATTATCTTCCAATAAACATTTACTAAAACTGGCTACATAAAATATAACTACAGACTAGATTCACGAGAGGTCGGCTAATGTGTGTAAAAGTAAAAAAAATACAGTAATTTCATTAATTTACCAGCGAGCGTACTTCGGAAGCACTGAAAATGAATGGGGTTCAATGGAGAAACTATCAGTGTTTGGAACTATTGACCGCTCCACGACACGCGTTACTTCCGCATTCCAAAGTTCCTGTGGCGGTCTATGGGAGTGTCGCAACTCTTTCTCTCTATGGCTCTGGGTAGTAGTTACTAAGCCTCTAGTGTGGACTCGTTCCAATTTCAGTAAGAACTTCGGAATGGCTGGTGCAACCCTACCCGGCACCCTTTGAACAAAAATAGTTTGATACAAAATAAACTAAAGAATGTTCCAAATAGCACAACTTAATCTCAACATAAACAGGTGAATCCATCAACTAATGTGTTGATTTATGCCAGTAACAGACTTCATTCAATCAATATGACCTACAGAAGTTAAAGGAACAGCTCTACCTGTATAATGTCTGCAGGCTTCTCCACGTCCTCTTTGAAGACAAGCATGGTTGGAGCATAAGTGTTAATATTGAATTTTCTGAGCAGGTCAGCAGTCTCAGAAAGACCTTGATCCACATATCCAAACTGCACGTAATCCTTATAGGCAAACGCTGTTAGCTATTAAAAAGTAATGGTAACGATCAGTCATTGGGGTACTGTAAGGAGTATTGGCAATTCTCGAGGTTACTAACCAACTTTACCTTATAAAGCAGAGGAACCGAAGGCACTTGGTCAAACAGGAGAACGTGTGGCTTGTTCAGCTCATGCCAGCTCTTCAGAAACTCTTGGTTGTTCTTGTCTGTGACCTACAGACATCCATGAAGGAGATGTTTAAGACCAGAAGAAGATGCAGACATTGGGGGTGAATGAGGATGTTCACTAACCTTTTCGACTAGTCTCTGTGGCAGCAAATCCTCTACGAACTGCATCAGGTGGCCCTTAACAACAGCGTAATGAAAGAAAGACACTTTTCCATTGACAACACCAAGAATGGACGGAGTCTGATGTGCGCCCAGGTGATTTGATAAACGCCGCTCGTAACCAACATCGACCACACCGATTCCAATCCCTAGAAATGAGAAAAAAAGTACTTGAAGGAACTCAACTTAAACTCATTTTAACTCTAGTAAGGTCATATCACTTACTGGGTCATGACATGTAAGCATTTCTAGAAAATCAACAATCTCTCACCCAGAGTTTCCAATTCCTGCACTGTTTCTTTCCAGACTGGCTCGATATGGATGCAGCTAAAGCACCAGTCTGAGGTAATCTTGATCAAGTAAGGCCTCTTGAAGCTGTCAGGCACAACTTCATTGACATACTGGTTGAAATGCAACGTGTACTTGCTGTCAGCAAAGTCCCGGCCACCCTTATTGTTAAAGGGAAAGTGGAAGAAAGACTCATCAAAGTAGAAGTTGTCATGAAAGTGGTGGAAACCGTAATGGCCGCGACCATACGGATGAGTGTTGTCCGTTTGTCCATAGCGATTGTAGCTGGCTCTCTTCTCCTCATTTGTTAAGATCTATGGAGTAACATGAAGTTAACATCAAGATTACTTCTGACAATATGTAATCTGTTCGGAGTCTATATAAGCTGCAGTACCTCATAAGACTTTGTTATCTTGATGAACATGTCTTCGGCTTCAGCATTTTTGTTTTTATCAGGATGCCTGACAGTGGAAATGAAAGAGGACCAGGGTGTACCATTCTTATTTAGACAATATTAAATTACTGTATAAGTATTACAATCTACAAAAAAATAGCACTCTCACCATTCTTTGGCCAGGCGTTTGTACACTTTCTTGATTTCTGCTTGGCTTGCGCTTCTGGTGACTCCAAGAACCTTATATGGATCAAATTCTGCAGTGCTTTTCACCACAGCGTCCATCAGGAGCACGTAGAAGACCATCATCACAGAGAGCAATACCACCACCATCTTCATCATGGCCATGTGTTCTGCTGCCCAGAGACTATCACAATAATGACATTATGAAGGTTATTATGGAGATAATACTGAAGTATGAAATATTATAAAGTAAATAGGTATTTAATTATAAAAAATGAATGAACAAATACAACAACAAATGAGGGGCAAATAGATAAATAAACATCTTAACATTAAATATTTATACATGAATTTGTAAAAAAAAAAAAAATATATATATATACAACAAAATGTGAAGGGTAAATATATAAATAAATATGTAGGCCTACATAAATTAAGGAATTAAATATATCCATTCATTGTTATTGTTAACTAAAACTCATTTTTGGTATTTGAAATAAAGCTAAAATAATATAAAATATAAATATTATGAAAAACGTAAATTTAAAATGTTGCCTAATTGACAACTGACTGAAAAAAAAACAAGTTTAAATAGAAGTACTGAAATTACTACAACTAAAATAAAAGTTAAATAGAAACTTAAAAATAAATGAAATATTACAACAGAATTACTAAACCTAAACTATAATTAAAATAGGCCTACCTGAAAATATACAACGGAAAGCTATCACCCAATATTAATAAATGTTTTAATATTTAATATTACAATTTAATATTTAGTATAAATAATATGAATATAAAACTGAATAGATGGGTAATAGATGGGATATTATGGGTCATTTCATTTCAGTCTTCATTGTGATCGAACTGCCTTCGTCTGCCACATCCCAAATATCATACAAAATAACATGCGTATTAAAATAAAAGGTGTCCATTTCAAATACTGAAAGCTGTCATGCAATATACAGAAGTTTCTAATGGATGTCAGTGACACATGCTATAGTCGCGTTTAGACCTTCTTATGGTTTAGACCATTACATAAAAACCCGACATAAAGCGCAATCAAAGGTAGAAGAAAATAACCAATTAAACGCGCTCTGAGGGCGATAATAAAGCAGGACATGCAGTAACGACCTCTGACGAATGTGCATTATCCAGCTAGCCTGTAAGCTAGCTCATGCATTTATCACGAATATGACATCAAAACGAAGACTGTTAAAACATGAATGGATTATGAATATAGCTACCACTACGAATGGTGAGAGAAGTTCATCCATCCATCTGAGTGACGCGTTCATAAACCATGACACATGCGCATTAATATTAATATTAGCAGAGATTCATAGCGGCACATACACACCTCTCTCTCTCTCTCTCTCTCTCTCTCTCTCTCTCTCTCTCTCTCTCTCTCTCTCTCTCTCTCTCTCTCTCTCAGACATTTAACGTGGGGTATTACCATACCATTCCATTACAAAAACACACTGATGGTATCAGATGCAACACGTTTCTTTCAAACCCGACTAAACAGACTGGACATAGGTCTAGATTAAAATTTTAATAGAGACTCCAATCCCGACTCCAGATAGCAATGTCACTCGTCAAGAAATATTAATTAGTTACATTAAACAGAGATGTAAGGCCATACTTCATTGCAGTTCAACTGTATGTTTAAAAGTTAATTGAAGTGCACTGCTAAAGTCTTTCGTCTATTCATCCATTTGTAGGACCAACTTCTGTCTGACAGACTTGCAGCCTTTAACAGAAAAGATTTTCTCTTTTTCAGGGAAGAAGGGCATTTCTCTGGCCACTTTATCTGCCAGATCAAAGTCTTCAGTCATGTTCAGATGGACCATCTCAGCCACGACGCACTGACGCACATGCTTCAGCTCCAGAGGTAGGAAAGGAATATAGTGATCAACCAGATGATGATCTATGAGACTGGAGTGCTGAAATCCACCTGTAGACATACACATTAAAAATGAAAGGAGTTATTTGATGTCTAAATGCAACCAAATTTTCAGTATCGGGCCTGATACGCCAGCGTGTGTCCAAACAAAGAAACACAGACAACAGAGCAAACATAGAGCACAGTGATGGAGGCTAAGAGAAGGATGTCTATAAAGTAAATGTACAGAATATTCAACAAATTAAATATTCACGCTATAGTTTTTGTGCGTGCTGGGCTGATAAGAGACTAGGTTAAGCGCGCAGCGGCACAGACACGTGGGCTTGTCGATCACATCCCTTTTTCACAGATATCGCTTAAAACTTTGTAGCTTGCTCGGATATGGCACTAGCAAAGAAAGTCAACAATTGGAAAAGTCGTATTGTGCCTTTTACCCCCATTACCATACTTTTACATAATCTTCCGTTATTGAAAAACTGTTGCTTTAATTAGCATGAACAACACTGAAAACCATTAACAAGACCTTTGTCTCAAAATATATTCAATAATTTTAGCGATTCTCATTTGCTACTTATCTACATTTTAAAAAACATCAAATATTAAATCAAATTAGCACAGAATCCACTTTGCGCTGTTGCCCACGATTGTGTCAAGGATCAGCCAAATTTCCACGTGCATCTTGAAAAGTGGATGTTTTGGAAAGTGCTGCTGCAAGTTTTTGTGCCACATAGTGGTTTAGAGAAAAATAAAATCAAATGCGCCTTTTACCCCGGTACATATTTAGCCCCGTTGTACCCTACTAAAAAAAAAGTATTGGTATTGGTGCATCCCTAATTCAGTGTGATTATATTTATTAAAATCATAAATGGATACTGCCTCATTGGAACCTTACTTGTCCATGTCCCTAAGCCCATCCCATCCTTAACCCTAACCATATTGAACCTGCTGTTCAGTAAAGGTGTCCTTGAAGGACCAGGAAGGGAGCCACAGTAATATATTGTTTTATGCATTTATATATGGATTGTATTTTAAAAGGTTATACGTATTTGGATGTACGCATATGCTATATACTTTGGGCTTACAATTTGAGCTGCAAGCGTCAATTTGCCACCCCATCCGATCACTGCGAAGACAGCGAAGTATTAAATAGCCTACCCGTCACTTTATTTTGACTTTTCAAATATTTTCTTCATTTGAAATGCATTGAAAATATAAATATTTTGCAGAATACTTAAATGATCTTTCAATACATACTGTTTTTGTCATTAAAAATGTTTCGAAAGATTTTAGTCTCCATATCCTTGCTGTTCATCCATAGCTCTTCCCGATCTTTGCCTTCTCTCCAGGAATCCAGAGCCACTTCAGCAATCACATTCCCACCTGCATTACTAAGAATAAACAGCTTAGTTAGGTCAATGTTTTGGGAGAGTATAGCTATTTAACGACCACTTCGTTTTAATTTTATATAGCTAATATTTGGCTACAACTGCATTTGTGGAAATCTGAAAAACAAACCCATGATTTGAGAGCTTTACCTAAGAAAAATGAAGAGTGCATTGTGGAATGACACTCCGTCTACACGGGCATTGTAGTCCAGAAAGGCCTTTATGGTGTCAATCAGCTTTGGCTGCATCTTGTCCATTTCATCAAATATGAACATGGAGCGGGGGAAACTTGATACACTCTTAGAAATCCACTGCTTTAGCTGTGCCTGAATAATAAGAAAATGCAAATCCCAGTAGAGAAATTACTTCTGATATGTGCAATATTCCCACGACCATTTTACAAATATGTACATTATTTTTACTTTCATATTATAATTTTTAATATACAATTTACTTAATTTTCAGTGTAGTAACGAATACGGGGCAAAAAATGGTGTCTGTTTAACAGAAACACAACTTCATTACTGTATAAAATGAAAATACTGAAACTGTAAATGACCCAAATCTACAACTATCTGGCCAGCTCTGAGTCTGAGAGTCTTGTGGGCCATCTTACATCTTAAAGGTAAACAGAGCCTGACCATAAAGAAGCAATCATTTGTTGTAAATGCGATTGCTAGAGTCTTAGACCAAGACTAAAAGGACTACCATTGATTTACTTACGCTGTACACGTCTGACATTTCTTTGTGTGGGAAATGATGCTCAGATATATACATGTGAACATGTTTGCTGTTTTCCCCTTTTTCATACATGTTTCTTGCAATGATTTTAGCAACATGATTTTTCCCAACTCCTGCAGTCCCATGGAAAGACAGAACCAGCGGTTTGTTTGGTTTGCTGTCAGTCATAAATGATGTTACAGATTTTAGTACAACATCAGACGCAATGTGCTGCCCAAAGAGAGAGTCTCTTAAATCTTTCTCCAAACCTGAAAGATGTGTAGAAATGTGAAGTCAAAGATTGTTTGTAGCTTGCAATGATCATTTATGCTATAAACAAATAACTACAAATAACACAGAAAGCAAAAAAACATTTCAAAAGAAAGTAGCATACAATGAAATCACTCTCATGCAGGTTCCCTTTCGAAACGTTTACTCGTAAAACTCCCTTTTCTCCGATTACTGAAGCCTACAGTAAAGGTAGTGCTACTGCATGAACCTATGGCGATGCGGCGTATTTGCGCGAGCCAATCAGGGTGCATCCCACCGAACCAAGCGCAGAACCCGCCAGAAGGGGCGAGGCATCTGCCTATATGAGCAGCTGTTGAATAGGATTCAGATTTATTCTCCTCTCAGAGTATAGAGTCATAGAGCATATTCTCATGTCACTTGCCGGGCCCGCCCCTGCTAGATGCATTCATTGAAGACTGACTTGCTGCATTCACAGACCACTTTCTCTAAAGAAAGTGACTCCTCCCCTCGTTCTCCAACGTTCTCTTTCTCTCAATCATGAGACGAAGAAACAGTGGAGCTGCAGGGTTGAATGAGCGGGACTTAGTGAGCTCACGCCGGTTTATTTCCAGCACGTCTCACTCTCTCTGCAGCAATAGGATCCCCCAGTGCTGCTTGTCGATTTTTGCCTAACTGTGCTCGCATTCCGTGGCTCAGCAGCGACTAAGGCACCGAAGCGGCACCGCAAGCCACGTCTCTGGCCGGCCAAACGCTATTCATTTCAATGCTCTAACAGGTGCTTTTCTCCTGCCTCAGCTTTAGACGCAGCCTGTAATACTTCAAACAAGATGGACGCCCCCCCTGTGAGAGCAAAAATCTCTTCACTGCGCCTGCGTTCTGCTGTTCAGCAGCTACCCAGGCTCCGAAGCAGAGCCGCAAGCCACACCTCTGCTCGGCCATTTAATCTCTATGATGGAACAGGTGCTGTTCCCCTGAGACAGAAGGGGATGCGCTTCCTGAATTACCTCGACGACTGGCTTGTCTTAGCCCAGTCAGAGGCAGAATTTAATTTATACAGATCCGTGCTCCTCAGCCCTTTGGAATGCCTGGGATGATCAACCTAGCCAAGAGCTCACTGTCTTACAGCCAGGGAATCTCTTTCCTGGGGGCAGTTCTCGACTCAGCCAAGATGTAGGCAGTGCTAGCACCCGAGCACGCTCAGACTATCCAGCAGCACGCAATATTGCAATATTGTTTGAATATTATCAAATGAACCAGCGAGGAAAGACGCGCCATCCATTTGGTGGCCCTCTCTGGCGGACCCAACCTTGGTTCCCTGAGTTGATTCAGCTTCTAGCACCAGCACCATGGCCAATTCCCCTGAGGAAAGACCTCCTTTTCCCAGGCGAACAGGACAATCTGGCATCCCCAACCGAGCTGTGGGCCCTTAACCTATGGCCCCTCAACGGAAGCTCATGGACCTTCCAGCGAAAGTCCTGAATACTATCTCTGAGGCTAGAGCCCCGTCCACGCTTCTATGCCCTTAAGTGGTCTGTTTTCAGTCTGGAACCAAGACCCTATTCATGTGAAGTACCGCTAATTCTTTTCTTCCTACAGGAGCTAATGGTTGTGGGTCGCACCCCCTCCATGCTCAAGGTCTATGTGGCGGCCATAGCAGCATTCTATGTGGCCGGCCAGTCGCTGGGTAGAAGCAAACTGGTTGTTCGCTTCATGAAAGGGGCAAGCATGGGGCAAGACCCCTCGTCCTCTTACCATACCCTCTTGGGACCTATCAACGGTCCTTAGGGCCCTCAAAGGGTCCCCCTTCGAGCCACTACAGTCGGCCAGACTTTCTGTCTGAGTTTGGGCCTAATGACTCCAAGGTTGTCCTCTAGCCAAGGCACGGCTATGTGCCCAAAGTGCTCTCTACTCCGTTCAGAGCACAAGATATTTCGTCATCTGCTCTTCCCGCTTCGGAAGACGAGCAACAATTACACTTACTCTGCCCTGTCCGGGCCTTAAGAGCCGGGGCGGATCTACAGGGGGGCAAGGGGCTGGTGCCCCCCCCCCCCCCCCCCCCCCCCCCCACTCTAGAGCCTTGCCCCCCCCCCCCCCCCAGCTGCCCCCTTAACTTTGATGATCCAAAAACTGTACTTGTAAAAACAACCCGCAAGCTTCTCAAAACAGTGAACTAAACGATACATTTACCAAAAGTGAACAATTTAATTTTTATTAAAGCCCCTCCCCCTGCCCCTCAAATACTTAGTACGTCCCTGATTCAAACGTGCAGAGCGGCGTTCGGTCAGTCTGGCTCACACACACACACATACACACAGCGAGTCTGCTGCGGTGCGGTGGCCCTGCAACCCGACTGGAGAGACTGAGCTGCCCCAGAGCCTCTGAAGGTGAAGTGAGTTTCCCCAGGTGTAGTTAAACACACGTTTAACTTAAAGTTACATTTGTTATGAATGTATTGTATGCTAAAGACGATTCAGCATCAGCAAAAACAGCAAGTCTATTACGTTAGCCAAAATCAGCGGTCAAATTGCTCCCCCGTGATTTGTAAGAGCACTCTTCCCTTTGATTAGCCTATGATTTTAGTAAAGACAAGAACAGCTTAATAAAAAATATAAATTGTTTGTATCCATAACGTTTACTGATGATCGCCGTTACGCCGACGTTACGTTACACAACACACAATACAGTGCCAGTTAGGAGATCGATCGTTTGATTTAAGCAAATCCAATTCCTCTCAGATATCACAGCAATGAAACCAGGTTTCAACTGGGGAAATAACAAATACAATTAGGATTATTATATTAAGTATTCTAAACACTGGTCTGTGCGCATGTGATACATCTTTCTGATTTTATATTTGTTATATAGGCTACTTATTAGCTGCATGGCCCTACAGTGTAATGTAATACAAGGATATTTTTTTATATACCCCCCATTTGGTAACACGTTACTTGAAGGGGTGTACATAAGACTGACATGACACCTTCATAACCATGACATGACATATGTCATGAATATGAAGTAGGGTTTATGCATGTTTATGACAACTTTCATTAAGTGTCTTTCGCTCAATAATGATATTTTGAATGCAAATATGACATTGTTTAAGATGTCTCTGTTATGACATCTTGACATAAACCATAACATCATAACCTGTCAGTGTCTTTGTCATGACAACTTGACATTAAATTAAGTTAAACTCTCATGTGGTTGGTTTTGACATTGGCTGTCATCAGTCCATTATAACTGTGTCATGAATATTTTTCGTGACCTCAACTACAGTGGTACAAATTGAATTTGTCATTAAACAGTTATAATGGCTTCATGACAGCCAATGTCAAAACCAATCACCTGACAGTTTAATGTAATGTTAACCAATAAAGCTAAGTGGTTTCTTAAGTTTGATAATTAATCTGCTATGTCATGTTTATGACAGGTTGTGTTGTCTTAGTAATGCCAAGTTGTCATGACAAAGACACTGACAGGTTATGATGTATTGGTTTATGTCAAGGTGTCATAAAGACATCTCAAACAATGTCATATTTGCATTAAAAATGTCATAATTGAGTGAATGACACTTAATGACAGTTGCCACAAACATGCATAAAACTTCCTTCATTTTCATAACATGTGTCAAGTCATGATTATGAAGGTGTCATGTTAGTCTTATGTACACCCCTTCAAGTAAAGTGTTACCTTCCCACCGTCTACCCCTGCCACCCTGCCAAGACATCTTGCCACCCCTTTGCCCCCCCATGTAAAATTTTCTAGATCCGCCACTGCTTAAAGGGATACTCCACCAGTTTTTCTTATTAAACTATGTTATTCCCTTAACTAAGACGAGTTGATACATACCTCTCTCGTCTCAGTGCGTGCACTATATCGCTCTGTATTGCCGCAAAACTATGTTAGCACTTAGCTTAGCCCATGCATTAAATATGGGCCAAGCAGAGAAGCGACCAAACACTTCCACGTTTTCCCTATGTAAACACAGTTACTCGAGTAGTGTAACTTGACCTGGGCTGGTGACACAAAATAAACCGTTGCGCTTTTCTAAGCGTTTAAAATTGATGACTATATTGTATGGCGGAATACCATAACAAGTGCTTTTGAGCACTTCGACTTGGCGCAATAATATCTTCACTCGTGAAAAGTCCTCTTACCGGCTCCCGCTTCCTCTCCCCCTCCCTCTGACATTTCCGTCATTACAACCAACGTGACATGCGCCGGTAGTAGTAGTTCGAGCGGAGTTGACGAAGTAACAGGTTGTTGGAAGCTAGTTAGCATTCTAAACAGCACAGGCTCTCAATTTCGGTCGGCATCTGTTCGCAACAGTCACACTTGCACCACCAATTGCTGTTTGCCCGTGGTCTTTCGCCAGCTCCGGTCTGTTCTGGATCATATCTTTCTTGCCTCTCACGGTCCATAGGAGCTAATTCCTCCTCCGTGTACTCGGGTTCAAACAGATATGGCTCTGGGTCTTCTACAAAGAAGTCATAATCATCTACAAAGTCCGCCATTGCAAATGATCTGCAGTTTGCAAATGATCTGCAGTTTGCTAATAGCACAGGTAGTAAAAGTCACGTTGGTTGTATTGACGGAAATGTCAGAGGGAGGGGGAGAGGAAGCGGGAGCCGGTAAGAGGACTTTTCACGAGTGAAGATATTATTGCGCCAAGTCGAAGTGCTCAAAAGCACTTGTTATGGTATTCCGCCATACAATATAGTCATCAATTTTAAACGCTTAGAAAAGCGCAACGGTTTATTTTGTGTCACCAGCCCAGGTCAAGTTACACTACTCGAGTAACTGTGTTTACATAGGGAAAACGTGGAAGTGTTTGGTCGCTTCTCTGCTTGGCCCATATTTAATGCATGGGCTAAGCTAAGTGCTAACATAGTTTTGCGGCAATACAGAGCGATATAGTGCACGCACTGAGACGAGAGAGGTATGTATCAACTCGTCTTAGTTAAGGGAATAACATAGTTTAATAAGAAAAACTGGTGGAGTATCCCTTTAAGAGTTTATACAGAGCACTCTGCCCAGTATAGGCAGTCAAAGCAGCTTTTTGTATGCTTCGGTGGCCGCACCAAAGGGCTTCCGGTCACAAAGCAGAGATTGTCCCACTGGATAGTGGACGCCATCGCATTGGCTTACACTTCGATGCCCCTTTAATGCTCTATCTGGTATGGCTTCTCCGTGGGTGTGGTCCAGTGTTGTCACTTGTATCTATTGGTGACATCTGTGCGGCAGCTGGCTGGTCCTCGCAATCCACCTTCGCCAGATTTTACAACTCGGAAGTCCCTGCACTGCAGGCATGAATCCTCTAGTTGGAGTTGACCTCTGAGTGAGCTTAACCCACTATTACCTCTCTGGAGGCTCCGACCACAGTCCGAGCCCCTTTCTGGTCAGGCGTAATTCTGTCCTCTCTTAGCCCTATTGCCACAAGTCCCTCATTCAAGCGCCTTAGGCTAGGGCCTAGAAGATGTCTTGCAACTCGTGTGAAAAATATACAAACAGTAGCGCCACAAAACGGGCACTTCCAGCATGTCAAGACATATTTGTGGAGGGTCTAAGAAATAAAAAATTATTTAGCCTAATAGATGAATACAAACGCTGCTTTGTAAATGTTGAAAATGTTTATATGACCTGATTTATGGTTCATATTCATAATCGTCTGTTGTTGCCAGTTTACAGTAACCTGGCCCTAGCCAGATGAATTTCGCTCCGCCTAGCTTCACTCATCCATCTGGAACCGATCCATTGAAATGGCGTTTCAGAAGGCTGGGCCTTATCAAAAATCCTTGCATATGATTGGATAAGCCACTTGTCTGTCATCTTTATCGACGTGCTATTTCTACCACTCACACTACCAGAGGAGCCATTTGGTAGATCAAGCTCTTGCCAAATCCGGTCGGGAGAAGGAAAACATCGTTTCCACCAACAAAAGCCTTAAGAGCCGTTCTCTGATGTTCTTTTAATGAAACAATATTAGGTAGATTGGACAACACGGATGAAATAGCAGCATCAATGTTAACGCTTGCTTCCTCGATGCGAGCCGCCATTGTTGTCTGAATCAAAACAGTCTCACGGTCGCTTCTCCACTACGTCACATCTATGAAACTCCCGCCCTGTGTCCTGATTGGCTAAACCATAAAGTTGGTTGGAGAAATCACTCTCAATGGAAGAGGTTCCAGATGGATGTGAGTGAAGCTAGGCGGAGCGAAATTCATCTGGCTAGGGCCAGGTTAAGTTTACAGGGCGATGTTTCCAAGCACTTTCAGGCTGAAATAAAGGCTGTTTTCATTTAGCCTACATTACAATGCCTAGTACTATGTCTATTTAACGGGTGCTGGGCGGGGCGGGTTATAAAAATATATACAGTGGTGCGGTGCGGGCTGGGGCGGGCCAAATAATTTCATAAAAGCAGGACCCGCGGGTTGGAAAAAAAGCCGACCCGCGCATCACTAGTAGACGGCCGTTCTATGGTGTTTGTCGCTTCAGTCGAATTAACCTAATGGCGAGACCAACTGCTCATATGGTCAGATGCCTCGCCCCTTCTGACAGGTTCTGCGCTTGGTTCGGCAGGATGCGCCCCGATTGGCTCGCACAGATACGCCGCATCGCCATAGATTCATGCAGTTCCCACTACTCCGCCAATAAGCGCGCACAGATCATGGCACTGTAATGGCTGTGCAGTAGCACTGAGTTATTGAATAAAAGGCTTCAATAATAAGAGAAAGAGGAGTTTTCCCCATAGCGTCTAGCAGACACAATAGCCTACTCATCGTTCCCTTTATTTCAGGGAACCGAAGTTACTTCTTTTTTTCTCTGAGGTTTTCTGTCACTTTTACCACATGACAATTTATATCTTATAACTTCTAAAATGGTATAAAAATAGTTAAATTAATTTTATAATAACATTTAGAATTTAAAAAAATATTGTAATTCAGTCAGAAAGGGAATTATTATGAAGAAACATAATGAGGGGTCATTTAATTTCTATCCCTTTCCCTTTCTTTCATTAATGCTATTTTTATTGGTAGCTAAACGCTTTACTTTAAAAGAAAATGTATGTGGTAAAAACTATTTGACAGCGTTATGTGGCACCAGGTTGAACGTTGACGTGGGAACGTGTTACCAACGTCAAAACCACAGTTTAGGAATAAAAAAATACGTTTAAACCCGACATACAAATTATGTAGGAAAATAACTTTAGCTACTACAAAACAAATTAGGCCTACAACGTAACGTTTTTGTGCATTTAGGGAATGGAAGTTATCCGACCGACACATTCAACAAAGGAAACATTTAAGTTAACACTGTTTGAAAAATATAACGTTATCGTCAAATAATACGATATCTAGGCTACATTATTTTGCAGTTTTACTCACCTTTAGGGTCATAAGGCAGCAAGCCGTCCCGTTCAAAAAATGTGTAAACAACATAAGATGCAGCAGCCGCGATCACATCCAGAAAACCTGAAGATAATGTAATATTAGACACCAGCAATAAAACTAACAAAAGGCGCTTTTTCATTATGAAAGCGAATCATCCAGATCTCTTTCAGTCTAGGTTTACGGTTTCGTTTTTACAAAGTAACTCGGAGGGAGAAGGACGGATTAAGAGACGTAGCCTATTGCACGCCTTCAGCAAACATTTATTTAATTTGAACCTCTTTAGCCTTTTCCATACACACTGCAGTGGCATACACCACAGATCTAATTTACAGACGAGGAAGAAAGTAAACGCGCTATTCTTGTTTTTCCAGGTTTCAGTATGTTGACATCGACTCGCTGTAACCATGACCACTACAGAAATTCTTTACGTGCTTCTTATGGATCTGGGTGATGATGATGATAATAATAATAGGCCTATTTCACTTTATGAGCTCTTACATTAGGCTAAATTTACATTTATTAGATTTAGCAGATGCGTTATCCAAATCGACTTACAAATGAGAAGAGCAATAGAAGCTCAAACCAACAGCAGGGCAGCAATAAAAGTGCTGTGACCAGTCCCAGTTAGTCCAGCAGTAGCCTACATGTGTCAAGTTTTTTTTAATAAAAAAAAAGATATAGAATAGTAAGTGTTAGTATTATTAATGGGTCAAGTGTTGCCTAAAAATATGCGTATTCAGCAGTTTCTTGAAAATGGCTAAAGACTCAGCAGCTCGGGTTGAGTTTAAATTATATTGTATATAATTATATATTGAACATATAATTATATATTATATATGAAATGCATGTGTATGAAACATCACTTTGTTTTCTGTGTATTCACTTATGTATTCATTGTGTGATTCAACTCTTCATGAGTTTACTATAGTTGGATCTATCACGTACACCATCATCACAGAGAGTGATACCAAACCTTCCTCATTGTGATCATGTGATCAGCTGCCTGGAAATAAATAAATGTAATAATTAGGGCTGTCAAACGATTAATCATGATTAATCGCATCCAAAATAAAAGTTTGTGTTTACATAATATATTTGTGTGTACTGTGTATAATTATTTTGTAAATAAATGTACACATATATTTAAGAAAAATATGTTATTTATATATAAAATATACATTATATATAGGCTACATTCAGTCTATATACAGTATATACATGCAAATATTTCTTAAATACACATGCATGTGTGGGTATATATGTATTAAAAATAATTATACACAGTACACTCAAAAAAATGACTCTTTGGTTGAACATGATTTAATCATGGACAGTGGTTCCACGTGATTGATTCAAGTTATTCGAGTATGACTGAATCAGGTTATTTGGACAAGACTGAATCAAGTTATTTGGACACGACTGAATCAGGTTATTTGGACAAGACTGAATCAAGTTATTTGGAAATAATTAAATCAAGTTATTTGGACATGATTAAATCAAGTTATTTGGACGAGTCTAATTTTAATTGCGTTTACTCACTTCGCTTAAGTTCATCCAACATGAAGTTTTTTGGTTGAGATAACATGGTTCCATCATGTGGAACCACTGTCCATGCTTGAATCATGTTCAGCCAAAGAGTTATTTATTTGTGTCTATTTAATAGACACACAGAGTTAAAATAACATACAATCAACCTAAATATAGCTTTTCTTTTAATACATACGATGTTGGCAGTCTAAAAATGGTACTGATTGCATCACTAGCAAACCCATTGGAGTTGCTTTTAAAGCAACTTGAATTCTTAGCATGTCCTCCACCGAAGCACATGCGACACTTTATCACAATGGTAACTCACCCATAAACACCTACATATAAGAAAGTCGTTTAAAATACCAACATAATAGAAAATTAAACATTAACAAGTCTCCCTATTTTCTCATCTTGCTTACATTTTTTATTTTTATCAAAGAACACTGGTACATTGCAATTACGACAGACCAGGAGGGTATTCTTAAGTTTTTATTGAGACACAACATTTACTTCACATAACATTTTCAGGCATAAAACAAAATAAGTGGGCTTTATAGTAAAAAATAAATAAAATAACATTAAAACAATATTATCAGACTTTTTCACCAAATAAGTGAAAACTGCACAAACAAGGAAATATGCTTGTTTAAAATTTCCTTTTTTTTAAAATGGTAAAAATGTGTAAATATAAAATAATATTATTATAATAAAATATCTGAAACAAAGAGTGGACCATTTTTAAGTAAAATGTTTCCTCTAGATTCAACAGCACTTTATAAATGAACTTTGAGAAGTTAGTGTACTCTAAATAAGGGCATAAATAAGTGCAAAAAACAGCAGCAGTGCACTGACCAAGACTTGGTAGACATCACCACCTCATCTTCAATCAAAACATCCAGTGAGTTTAAAGACACCGTTCCTCCTCAACAGCAATGATGGTGACTGCTGCACCTGGTCAAACTCCTTACATTTCTCCTTACAAACCCCTTTTTCTAAATGCATTGAAAGAAAAAAAAGAAAGTGTTAGTGCATGTCACCACATATCATAAAAACGACCCTTGTGAGGACAGACATTTAAATTTTCATAAATTAAAATAAAGACATGAAGGATCAGAGTAGTGTTTATCCAGTAGGGTTTGTGCCCATTTAAAACCCTGTAGTACTTTTTTTTACTACACGTCTTCCAGAGATGTTTGTCAGAAGGATTTTATTGGGAAAAAATGTCAGGGGTTTATCGGTTGAATGTTCTAGAGCTTAAAAAAAAATGTCATTAATAAAATGTAATTTGGCATCAGTCGGTTCTTTATTACAAAGTAGAAAGTAAAGTGGTGCTTAAAAGGGATAGTTCACCCCAAAATAAAAATTCTGTCATCATCATTTACTCACTATCACATCACACCAAACAAGAATCTTGTTCAGCTTTGGAACAAATTATTATTATTATTTTTTATATATATATATATGTCATGGACAATCCATCAAAAGTCTATAGACAATCAATAGTTAGCTTCAAGAAGTACATAAAGATATCTAATCCATATGAATAAAGCCGTTTTATACAAGCCTTCCAATGGATAAAATATGACAAAGTATGAAATATATTATTTATTTATTTTTCTTAAGATTAACAAAATTATGGTTTTGGAACATTCTAATTGAATTTTTTTCATTCTAAAAATATTGCATTTCTTCAAAGCTTTTTTTTGTGCCATTTGTGCTGCAAGACATCTCTAAAACTGAACGATGTACAAACAATATATTTAAATAACTGGTCATAATATGTGACAATTTACATCTCGTACAACACTAAAAACAATCAGTTTGTTCAATGTGAATTTTACTTACTTCGTTTTAGGCTCATAGTATTGCATCGTCTTGTTGACATTGATATCACTCCATCCCTCGTTGCCTTTACTCTGAAAAAAGTATGAAACCAACCTTGTTAGTGTGGGTTTCAAATTAGAAAACGTGAGAAGCAAATAACAGTCTAAAATGTTAACTAATGTTAGCAAAACAGCCATCATCATCGGTCCTCGAGGGGGGGGGGGGGGGGTGCTAGGGTGTGGTTACAGTTACATGGTTACAGTTACAGTTATGTTGTTCTGGATGAACACTATACTGTATATATAATTATCATAGGATTGGCAAAGGAGAAAAAAGGCAGTTAAATATAAATGAACCATGATGAGCAACACATTTGTTACTGTATTTATTATTCTTTGTTAATAAAAATACAGCTGTTCGTTGTTTGTTCATATTACTTCACAGTGCATTAGGCTAACTAATGTTAACAAATATAACTTTTAATTGTAATAAGGCTACTAGTAAATAGTGAAATTAACATTACCAAAGATTAATAAATGCTATTTATATATAAAGATTAAGAAGTGCAGTTTATGAATAGTTAATATTAACTAGTTTGTTGTTATAGATTTGTTATACACCGATTCAGATCTCTTTTGAAGAGACAGATGTTGGACAGATCAGTTATTTTAACCATTCATAAAAGTAAATCGGTTCAAATGAGTCATTAGTTCGCGAATCGGACGTGCCATTAGCTGACACACACGGCACGCGTTGTGTGATTATCCCAGCAGATAAGGACATCGCACAAGATTTGTCTCAACTCTCAACACAGAAAACATTTAATCACTGGATAGGTTTTTTGTTTATTGAAAATGTGGTTTATGTCAGCTGAATGTGCGGAAAGCTTTTCAGAGAGGATAGGGCAATTTTAGTAGGCTGCAATTCACACCCAGCGGTAATTCAGGAAAAAAAATCTCCACGTGAAACTTTGGTCTTTTGATCTTTTACTATCGTGTCACTTCTCAATAGATTTTGATTAATATGCGCGATAGAGGGAGAGCAAGGCAGTTTGAATACAGTGAGAGTGCGCGCGCGCGCGACCGGCTCTCTCTCTCTCTCTATATATATATATATATATATATATATATATATATATATATATATGCTCGACTTCTTTCAGCGCCCTGTCACGAGCGCAGCATAACAAAGCGGTAGCTAACCTTAATTGAATCAAGCAAACAACTAGATGTTGTTTTTGCTCCAAAAAAGCTTGATTTACCTCGAATTTCACATAAGATTCCTTCACGTTCTGAGTTTCCATCAGACTCGCGTGGTAGCCAGGTGTCTCATCCAATGGCGATTCTGACGCAAGTGCTAAGATTCCGATTGGCCAAGAGAAAAAGTACTAAGATTCCGATTGGCCCAGAGAAATGTCAATTATAAGAATTATCCAATAATGTTTCGCAATTCTAGCCTGCGTGCAGATTAAGGGCAGCCTACACCCCCCCCACCCCACCCCACCCCCCAAAAAACTCTCCGGTTCTACGCGATTCACGTGAATGACCCAAATGACCAAGAAAACGGCGATTATCGCCGAAAAGCGACAAGTTTGCAGGTCTGCGAGACTTCGGCTGCTTTAGTAAACTTAATAAGCATCACATGGATATGCTAGATAAAATTGACAAAAAAAAACAGGTCATAAAACGATTAACAAAAAGTTTAAACATTGTAATGTAGTGAATGGGTGGGATTGCGTTAAGTTAACTTACCTGTTGTTTACGTGGTGTGAATGACGGTTAGAGATGTGGAAGATGGTCCGTCTATCAGCCGTCTCTGTTTTAAAATAATAATAAAAAATGCCGGAACTTGTTTGTCCGTGTCCAACTGTGAGAAAGCACACAAAATATTTATTAATTTCCCACTGACAAACTGTGGCGTAAAACGCTGCATATTTAACACTTGCCGCTGATAAGTTAACTGTCTTTGATGTAAGTTAACTTAGCTAGCTGCTAATGGCGCGTTGGCTCCGCTTCTTTGCTAGCTAACGTTAACGTTAACGTCACGTACATTAGCGTTACTGGGATGGTTAACCTTCAGATAGAGAAGTACGACAATAAGACATAAAACGTTCAAATGTGATTTAAATGGGGATAAAGAAGTTCGAAATGCTTACCTGTTATTTTTCTTGACCGTTAGCCGTCCTGCTGTGACCCGTGGAGTGATGTGAGCGCGCAGTGGGGGATGGGCGGCTGGGCAAACGACTGCCTGCCTGAGAGAAAATTCGCGGTTCTTTTTTTTTTTTTGCTTCTTGTGAAACACTCCTGGATAATATTTTGCCATTAGAAAAAGTAGTTAAGGCTTAATGTATGCTTAATATGAAATAGATTTACGTATTTACTATTGTTTATGTTTTTATTTGATTAGCTTTTAGTTTAGTTATAAAAGAAAACAGCATAATAAAATGAGCCCTTTATATGCTATAGCCTACAAACGTAATTTCTCAGAGAAAATTATTTAAAAGAAATTAGAAATCATGGAGTAAGTTAAGACATTTTTATATATATATTTTGTGGTCAGGCATAGACGTAAGATATCAGATTAAATTAATTGCTGAGTTACTTGATTGGAACGTGTTCTATTAAAATGAAAACATCAAGTTAAGTCAAAGAGTAACCGTTTCAAGTCAGTTTAACATGATGCAATAGTGTTTGAACATTAAACCTGATACAATGGTGTTAAATCAAAATGAATGGTTTAAACAAAGTGAACAACATCAAAAATTCATTTTTTGAGTGTACACACACATATATTATGTAAACAAAAACTTTTATTTTGGTTGTGATTAATCGCGATTAATCGTTTGACAGCCCTAGTAATAATAAAATAAAGTCTCCTGAACTGATGACTCTGGGTTCAACCTGTTGAATTCTTTAGTGTCCGGCTGAAAGATATATTTGAGTGTCCCTTGCTTCTGTGTTTTGAACAGTTGTCTGCAAAAATTGATCTGTCAAAACATAATTTCTTCAGGCATTTACAGCTAAGAAACTTTATTGGCAAAAATACCATTTTGTATACCGATAATTCTATGTTAAAAAATTTTCAACACGGGTAAAAATACTGAAATATTGCTAAAAGACACAAGACAAAAAAAAATCTCATATTTATGTTACATTGAGTTTGACCTTCCAATGAGACAGATGTGGGGAAATTATTTTTCAGTAAATATCTCCAGTGGGATTGAGTCTGGGATCATGCTAAGAGAATATCAGTGTGTAACAGAGCACATGCTATTCAATTCAAAATAGTAGGCTACATCAGCTACATGTCACCCCTTATATCAGAAATAAAATTGACCCCAAACTTTCCCCCTCAAAATGAAAAACATCAGTTGGTAATAATATTTATTGTATCTGGTCTTGTCACAGAATTCAGTTGTTTTGGAAGAAAATTGCAGACCACATTGGCAATATTCTGGGATGAATATACAGTAGATGTTGATCCTTGTTCATTTATTCTAGGTCTTCCCGCTGGTAGTATTTTGAATAAATATCATAAGAGACTTTTCAGTATTTTAACTTTTGCTGCAAGAAAGAACATTTTGATGTTCTGGATCAATGAGAAACGCCTTCAATCAAAATAAATAGCATAAACTTGTGAAAGAACTCATCCCAATGGAATTTTTGACAGGTACATGGGCAGCCTCAACTGTGTGTTTAAAAGTTAAGACAATAAATTGGACAACCAGTGCTGCTAAAATTGTTCATCTATACAGCACCAACTTCTGTCTGACAGACCGGCAGCCTTTAACCGAAAAGATTTTCTCTCTTTCAGGAAAGAAGGGCATTTCTCTGGCCACTTTATCTGCCAGATCAAAGTCTTGGGCCATGTTCAGATGGACCATCTCAGCCATGACGCACTGACGCACATGCTTCAACATTAGAGGTAGGAAAGGAATATAGTGATCAACCAGATGATGATCTATGATAGAGTGCAGAAATCCACCTGTAGACATACAAGTAAAAATTAACTGTTGGGAGTAAATGCAACCATATTCAGGTTTGGGTAAAATCAAATGTAATCATGTAGGAAACAACAATTGACAAACACATTAATCAGGGACAAAATAAATATATAGGAAAATGCATAAAAAAAATGGACAAATAATATATTAGGAAATATAAGTAACAAACTTATTGAAAATGTAAATATCATTTAAAATCTACATTAGCTTTTGAAATATATTGGAAAAAGATATATTTTGACTTAATACTTCAATGAACTTTCAATACATACAGTTCCTATCATTGAAAATGTTTTGAAAGATTTTAGTCTCCATATCCTTGCTGTTCATCCATAGCTCTTCCCGACAAATGCCTTCTCTCCATGAATCCAGAGCCACTTCTGAAATCGCATTCCCACCTGCATTACTAAGAATAAACACAGTTTCTCATTAGTTAGGTCAATCTTTTGAGAAGGTATAGCTATTTAATTACCACACCGTTTGAATTTTATATAGCTAATATGTTGCCTACAACTGCATTTGTGGAAACCCAAAAAACAGCCCACTGATTTGAGGGCTTTACCTAAGGAAAATGAATATTGCATTGTGGAATGAAACTCCATCTACCCGGACATTGGAGTTCAGAAAAGGTTTTATGACGTCAATCAACTTTGGCTGCATCTTGTCCATTTCATCAAATATGAACATAGAGAGGGGAAAACTTGACACACTTTTAGAAATCCACTGCTTTAGCTGTGCCTGAATAAACAGAACATGCAAATCCCAGTTAGAGAAATTATTTTTGATATGCGTAACATTCCTACAAAATGTGCATTATTTTTACTTTCATATTATAGGCCTAAGTTTAATTAATTGTTTTACCACATTTAAAAAAATGGGCTAAAATGCTCTGTTTAAGGAATAGTTCACCCAAAAATGAAAATCAGCTTACAATTGACTATACTGTTCCTTTAGGCCATCCAATGAGTTTGTTTCTTCATCGGAACAGATTTGGAGAAGTTTAGCATTGCATCACTTGCTAATGGATCCTCTGCAGTGAACGGGTGCCGTCAGAATGAGAGTTCAAACAGCTGATGCAAACATTACAATAATCCACAAGTAATCAACATGACTCCAGTCCATCAATTGACGTCTTGTAAAGCGAAAAAGCTGCGTGTTTGTAAACAAATCCATAATTAAGACGTTTTAACTTTAAACTGTTGCTTCTGGCCCAAATACGAGTCCATAATCCACAGTACTGCTTCCTGCAGTGAAAAAGTACATCCCGTTGTCCTCTCACATCAAAATCCACCAACATATTTGACTGTTTCGGCTTGTAAACGGTACTTGGTCTGTGCATATTTTCTGATTCAGATGAGATTTCTTTTCACTTTTTCACAGAAAGCTATATTATGGATAGAGGACTCAAAAAGTTTAGCCGGAAGCAATGGTTTGAAGTTAAAAAAATATTAATGATTAATTTGTTTATTATAAACACATAGCTTTTATCTTTGTAAGACATTAATTGATGGACTGGAGTCGTGTGGGTTATTGTGATGTTTTTATCAGCTGCTAACTTTCATTCTGACAGCACCCGTTCACTGCAGAGGATCCATTGGTGAGCAATTGATGTAATGCTAAATTTCTCAAAATCTGTTCCGATGAAGAAACAAACTCATCTACATCTGGGATGGCTTGGGGGTGAGTACATTTTTTTTATTAGCAAATTTTCATTTTTGGGTGATTATTCCTTTAATAGAAATGAAATGCAACTTCATTACTATATAAATTGAAGGAAATAATTGCTCTGTAAATGACCCAAGTCTTCTGAGAGTCTTGTGGGCCATCTTACATCTTAAAGCTAGAGGCCAATCTAGATTGCAAGAGGCCAAGGCTAAAAGTACCACCATTTATTTACTTACACTGTACAAGTCTGACTTTTCTTTGTGTGGGAAATGATGCTCAGATATATATATGTGAACATGTTTGCTGTTTTCCCCTTGTTCATAAATGTTTCTTGCAATGATTTTAGCAACATGATTTTTCCCAACTCCTGTAGTCCCATGGAAAGACAGAACCAGCGGTTTGTTTGGTTTGCTGTCAGTCATAAATGATGTTACAGCTTTTAGCACAACATCAGACGCAATGTGCTGCCCAATGAGAGAGTCTCTTAAATCTTTCTCCAAACCTAAAAGATGTGGAGATATGTGAAGTCAAAGATTGTTCGTAGCTTGCAATGATCATCTGTGCTATAACGTCTCGGGTTACGACTGTAACCTTTTTTCCCTGAGAACAGGGAACAAGACATTGCGTCCTGGGACGCTACTGGGTAACGCCTTGACTGGTATCTGTAGCAACTGTCAAATCACGGCAATCGTATTGGCCATTACATCATACTAGTGTGACCAGGAAGTATATGAGGGGCGCCTAGAGAACATGTCATCCACTTATCATCTGAAGGAACTGTGCAGGCAGCCCGGAGGTGTAACATGGAGTCCACTGGAGGCAAGTTGTAGAACCCAAGTGCAGTTTATTTAAAGCAACACCAAGTAACTTTTCCTCTGCGGTCGCCCTACAGGTTGGAAGGGGAATTGTCCATTACTGCTGTCGTAAATAACTTAGCCTACCGCATCCTACTGTCGCACGTGCACGCACGCACATGCTCTGTTTTTTTTCCAGCACCGGCTTTGTAATCATGATGACAATTCAAAAGCTACCCGGGTGCTAGGTATCTTACATGTAGTTGTAGTCTACTGTCGAGTACGCTCCACCTATCAGCAATTGTAACGCTTGCCGTGAAGCAAGTCAAATTTGTAGTTTTCTTATGTCTCATTCGGACTACAGAAACGCGACCCGATCTGGCAATCTTACATAGCGTGGATATATCAGATAAAGGACCACAAAGCGGTGGCATACGTGCATTTCACCATGTCACGACTTGATGAACCACTGAAACGATTTTGAAAACATTATTTTTAAGGAAAAAAATCTTACTTAGTGTTGCTTTAATATCCAAAAACAAGATCAAACATAAAACAAAGGTATGGCGTGGCATGAAACTCAAAACAAAAACATGAACATAGACATAGGCTGCGTTTACACTTGGCATTAACATGCGATCACCATGATCCGATCAAGCAGATCGGATCATTAGCCAATCAGGACATGGCGCGTTTACATTTGTTAACATTAACTGTTTCCTGCATAATATTTAAATTAGGTCTGTGGCACACCAGATTAAAAGTAAAGATGATACAAATTAAACAATGTCTCAATTGCTTTCACTCACTCACTTTACTTTCCTATGCAATCTCCAGTCTTAGATCAAATTAAGTTTTTTGAACGAAGGAATACTTCCAGAGTAGCCTGACTTCGTCATACTCATATTCTAGTCAGAATGTGAGTCTGATACTGCTCCATAGGGCTTTGATTATGAGGCGTGTCTTAACCGGACCAGGAAAAAAAAAAACTCTGCACTCAATTGGATAGACCTACAACCAATCAGAGCAACGCAGTAAGTCAGCTACATAGTTGCATAGTTTCAACAGAACTCAACTGCACGCACGCTGGAAGAAGTAGTAAAATAATGAGTGTTGCTTCTTTTACTTGGTCCTCCATGAGTGCAACCAAAGGAGAAACCGCAACGACCGCAGGGCTTTCATTGCGTCCCGTCTTCTTAGCGACCATCGGAGCCAGCTGATAAAATAAACTTTTGCTGAATCCCGTAGGAAGGACAGTAAACACATCTTTCCGATCGACAAATGCCTTGATTGCAGTTCTCTGTTCGTCTTTTAAAATGAATGCGCTGTCGATTTCTTTTACAACAGACGCAATAGCGGAATATACATCTCAGTTCTCCAGCTGCAGTCAACTCTGAGGGAAACCAGTTCAACCCAAGCACTCTTTGATAACGTGATGATTACGTAACTGCAGATCATCTGTCCATCATCGTATAAAGCCCGCCCTGGCAATTTGATTGGCCCGACTAATTTTGAACCGATCATAATTAATCCTCAATGGATCGAGTCCAGACCGAACTTCCCGACCAAAAAATGTTGTGGGCGGGGTTCGGGCTGGCATCCAGGCTACTTCCAGAGTTGATCATACAAAAATCACTGGGTTGATCATGTTAAACAAGTCACATCATCGATCATCTGGGTTTAAGGTTATAGTGTACAATGACTATATTGACAGAAATGGGAGATTGATGAACACGCTGAAACAATAAAAACATTCAACATTTAAAACATTTTTAAAAATCCGATTCCGATTATTCCACTGGCAAAGCAGCGTGCAGCTCTTCATTAAGATCTCATGACTGACTGTGATTGTACAGGCGATCGCCTAGTTCAGATAATGTTGCACAATTAAAATAAAAAATGACACATATAGTAAGTCTAAATAAACTGTTTTAAAGATTGACTTTTATTGTAAGGTTCAAATAAGTAAAATGTTTTGTCTAAACTGCATCTGGCCATTATTTTCTGACAGCCACGTGGGGAGACTGGGCGGGGATTTATATGACGTTCACCTGTGAATGCAGACGTAACCCCTCCACCCGGGTCCCACTCAACCCGCTCCGAGCGGGCCTCCAGCATGAGAGTCAGGCGCTCTAACAAGGAGGCTAAAGACTGCAGCCTCTGGCATCTGTCGCTAGAGAGCCTTTTGAGATCAGAGGAGTGAGGTTTACTCGCACAGCAACTACTAGCTGGCCTCCGTTACACTGACACGATGGCTAGATTGCATTTACATTACACTGAGATCTGATCACAATGCGTCCTCGACTACCTCCGAACCTGGACACTCTGATTGGATAACATTCCGATCAGAATTGCGTTTACACTTGTCTTTTCAATGTGTATGTGGACAACATCCGGATACAGGTCGCATGTTAAAGGTTGTATCAGCGATTTCAGGCCCAAAAAAAGGCCCAAACATAAAT